CGTACAAAAAATTTTCAGGAAAAAAAGGAGATTTTGAATTTCGATGCTCTTGCCTTTCTAATCACGGTAATCTCAATTAATCTGAAAAAAATCTTTTTCGAGACAAAAAATGTAAATTTTATTCGTTTCCTTCTTTTACACACGACATCACACAAGAATAATTAAAGTAAAAAACGCATGTCGATCAAATGTGTCGTTTAAAAAATTTAAATTATTTTTCTGACGTAATAGAAGCTTCTAATACACCTTCGACATCGATTCCTCCAGAGGGGGCTTCTAATACGGGGAGGCTTCTAATATGGGGAGGCTTCTATTATGGGGGGAGGGTTAGTAGAGGATGAAACTCTCTGTTTCGCCCTGTTTGCGCTCGACCATGTGTTGAGCAGAGTTGGCCACTGTGGATGAAACCGTTTGAGGAACGCCTCTTGAAAAGTAGACCACTCCAGGTGGAGGGCTTGCCATAGGTACTAACGGCTAGCTGTATCGTTGAGATGTGACAGGATTTCGTTGGGGTTTTTTACGAGGTCGATGTTGGCGAGTTTGCACATTCGTTCCCGAAGGAGAAGCCATTCTTTGGGATCTTGTGAACCATCACCAGAAAATTTCGGCATACCTTTCATTCGAATGGTGGCGCCGAGGCTCGAACACAGTACCTGAGGCTACTTACCAAACAACGTAATAAGCTACTTTTAGACAAACTTGTTTACCTTTCCAAGTTTCATCATTATCTAGCAAATTGCTTAAAATGTTTAAGGCTTTCTTTCTACCCACTGAGGTACACAGATTCGACATGTCTAAACTCGCCAAAGTACTATTTTTCTTTAATTTTAGAAAATTAAAGAAAATTAATCTTTTCTCCCATTTCTTCTGTCGATTTGAGCTACTTCCTTTTGCAAAAGATGTGCCTTGAAATGCTCTACAAAATCATACCTAAACTATAATTTCAGAACTTCAATCAAGAAAACTACGCGAATTAGATGAAAGTCGAAAAACATGAAAACTTTCCAAACTCCAAACTTTTTCTTCTGCTACTATTTCCGTTAAAAAGTGCAGCAAAAGTGAGAACTCAGTTTGTGTTTGGTACTTTCAAATGTGCTCTTTCTTATGGTCTGTAAAAAACTTTTTTAGAGCACAACGAAGTTACAAAAATCCATCAAAAGTTGACAACCTCCCCGTTTCCAACAATGTATTCAAACAAGACACGGAAAACAAGACTGAACTTTTGATTTTAGTCTCCTCGATCTTGTTCTTCAAGCTGAAGTGGATCGCAAGGATATCGATCGGAAACGAGTCGAACACGAACGAGCCAAGAAAGTTGAGGCTTTGACCAAGCAAGCGGCCCAACAAGTCTTTGTCGCCCCTCAAAGACAACCCAACAACACACAAGGCTCGACACGAAACGCTCAAGGACACGGCGGCTTTGGGCAAGGTGGCTATTGGCGAGACGGTCCCATTCGTGGTGGATATGGACGAGGCAACTTGGGAAGCTGGCGTAATAACTACGCACAAGGCGGTCAAGGGCAAGGTCGCTACAACCAATCGGCCGGTCAATCATTCAACGGTCTTTGCTTCCGGTGCAACCAGCCCGGCCATTTGTTCCGGGACTGTCCATGTAGAGATGCAATAAGATGTTTCAAACAGTATAATTAAAACTTTTTGTTACAATAGTAATGTAGCTAGATTCATTCACAAGACCTTATTAGATCTTGTACTTTTAACTCGAAATGCGAAACTATATCGTTATCAAATAAAACATTTCTATTTCTCACATTGCATATTTCTAGTTCATATCTAACTAGTCGTTCGCATTTCTTCTGCTGTGACTTTTTTATAACTAGACAAATTAACCACGATAAAACATGCTTACTAAACGGCTTGTCCAGCTAACGGCCTCCATTTTCTGCTCTTTTCCAAAAAGTTACTGCAATAAAGCTACAAACTAATCTAAAATGGCGGCTAGATAATTAAGCAGATTAAACATTTCTCTAAAAATGAAGCGTGTCTATCAGCCTTCGAGGGGTATTTCGGAGCCCTCGTCACACCCTCCAGAGAGCGAAGGCTCAGAAGTCCCGAACATCTCAATTCGACGGCTCTCTACCTATCTGAAATCCGAGGGTTCGAAATCGATACCCCATGAAAGCTTATATCGAGGGTCCGAAATGCCATTTTCCGAGGAGTCGAGCCCTCTGCGAGGACCTATTTTCGAGTACCCGCCGCAACCCCCGAACGACTTTTCTCAACTGCATGGGTCTTCAAACAGTTATTGATATTTCATTCTACTCGGGATTTTGAAACGAATTGATTGAAAACTGTATGAACATAAAGTCATTTGTAAGAAAGTGTCGTAGAAATTAATATCTATATTCGGTTCTCTCTATGCTAAAAAGAAGAAAGGATCTACTGTATGAAAACCTCAATCAGTTTTTAATGTTAAATCTAAATTTTCAATAAACGAGCCAGTAAAGAAATAGCATGGAGGAAATAGCTGATTGAAATCAGCCCAAAATCACCCAAAATCAATTGAAAATCGATGAAAATCAGCGAAAATCGGAAAAATCCCAAATCATCTGTTTCCCCTTTGAGAAATACTCGAAATAGGAATAAATTCTGTAAAGTAGCTTCTAGTTTATTCTTTTTAAAAAATGTGATTCATTCGTTTGACATGAAAGTACACAATCTCATTCTCAGCCTCTGCTTTTACTCTTCCTTGTACAAACGGGCAGAGAAACTGCTGTCTTTTTTCATCAATTTGTCCTACCTTTTCTTAACCTTGTACAGCAAACGATGACAATTTGTCGATTTGTACAAACATCACCATATCAGCAAGATATGGTATATTATTGGCGTTCATATTTACAGTGATAAATTAAGATTAAAACAGATAGATGAATTTGATTTAACATATCGATTAAGGGAATCCATTGCTTGGTATTCAAAAAATCATTTTCCATTTGGTTTTGTTAATAAAGTATTAAAAACCGAAAACTTTATATAGTCTTCGATATTTTATTGTTGATGTATATCATGTATTAAAATCTATTTTCGATCTTGCATTAGTGATGTCTGAAAGCCAACGGCAACAATCAACATCGTTACCAGATTTCGATCGCTCATTATTGGCAGCATTATGGATGTCAGCAGGATTTGAATATGGTATAAAAATTCTACTTTATTCACCGCCAAATCCAATTGAAATTAAAAATTTTGTGAAATTAAAAACACATGTTGAACAACAATTGAAACGATTAATATCAATACAACTATTAATCGAAATCGATGAACAGCTTATCGATTTACTTCCGATGTATGAACACGATTCAGATGTCTATTACAAATTATGCTGAACAGCAAGAAGTTTTTCGAAGAAATTTTTGTCCTGAATACCATGCACAACTATTAACGAAACATATCGACCGAATACTTGACAATTGTAAACGTTCACTTGTATTCGTATGAAATGACATTATATCATCGAAATGAATTGTCAACTTATCAAAGAATAATTTTACCTGATATACCTTCAAATGATAAAGCTAAATTTTGTATTATGTCATTATCAATTCAATGATTTACCCTATATGTTGATGGTTAGTGCTGATGGTAAGGTGCCGCTAAGGCAAGGTTTTAGTGGATTTTAGATTTCGTTTTTTTATACCTCATTCGATGCAGTTTCTTTCGCTGATCACGAATATGTGGTCCCGACAATTTTTGGAATTTTTCTTCTGGGCGAAAAAGGCCAAAAACTAAATCTCGATCGAGTCCTCGAAAAAAATCGAGATTGCGGAAAAGCTGCTTAACAACTTTTCCCCCTGATGTCGTACAAGTCTGCGGTTTCGATATTCGGATTCAGCCTTGAGAACTCATCCTAGCCATGTGCTTTTTAGTGTTCGAAACCTTCGACTGGTTTTTCGGCGTAGTCCAGACTCCAGAGATTTTCTGCAAAATTTTCTCCCAAACTTTTCAAGTCCCCGTGGGAAGGTCGTAGAAGCAAAAACTTGACACCATTCAACGCGCCTTGAAAAGCTGTACAAAGTTATACGAGCAGCTTTTTTAGAAAAAATTTCTTTCAAAAATTATACCTCATTTACTAAAGTCAGAGTCAAACGGCCTGAACCCTTTTTACCAACTTTTCGATTAGCCTATATCACAGTGGCTTTTACAGTAAAGTATGTCACGATTATCCTTTATTTATTTTAGTTTGGGGACTGAAGTTACTTTTCTGGAACACTTTTCTAACTAGAATGTCTGACGGAATGGTTTAATTGTGTTGGTTTAATGGTATATTGCTCAGTTGAAAGCGTTAGCAGTCTTGCAGAATATTAATATCAATCACAATGAACTTTAATTCTACCGCATGATCGCATTCTACTAAAAGTCTGTGAGCAAAAATCAACACGAAAGCTGTAAAAACTGTTGAAATAGAATCACCTTACAATTTTCGTACTAAACCACTATGCATCCTTTTCTGTGAGAAAAACGTATCAAACGCTGAAAACGAGCTTAGCGATCACCAATGGCTTCATATGTGCCGTATCACATTCGCACACGCACCATTCGATGCGCATGGACGAGTTCTTTAGAACGGTATATGACACTTGAAGGTTTCATTTAAAGATTATAGTTTTCTATCATGAAAACTCTAAGCATTTCCGTAACTCTACAATATCTCCTGGATCACGGTCGCAAATGCACCAACTGTAGGAAAAATAGTATATTCATAGATATTCGACATTCCTCTATCAAATGCACATCTGTGAACTTTTTTTATTTAACCTGAATTGTATGACTTTTTTTTAAAAGTTTTTGCACAAAGACAATAAAACATATTATAGTATTCAAATCCACATAAAATCTAATAAAAAGACCGTTTTTCTGAAGTTTTCACTTTTTAACAAAATTAGTTTTAGAACTCTCTGCCTAATGGAATGCGACAGAATAATCTGACAAAAAGTTCGATCCTTTTTCCTCAACATAAAAATGCTCTAAAGATCCAAAAAGTGTGTACTGAAATCAGAATTTTACGCTCATTCGGAATGTATATTCAGAACTTTTGTAATGCTTTGTTGTGGAACACTACAAGTACAGCATTGAAACTGTAAAAATAAGAAAATATTCTTAATCGTCAAACCATACAAAGTCGAACGCTATACTATACGAATCTTTTCACCAACTTTTCGAGTTTTTATCCGATTGACGTTCTAATGCCGGTCTAAGGGTAAAAAATGATGAGGAAGACGATCATGCTATTGTCCAGAACTATAGCGGGTCTTCAGTGGATCTTCAAAGGATTTCTAGAGGGTTTTTAAGAGAGTCATATAGTATGGAAGAATAAAGGAAGAACCGGTGTGTATAAGATCTTGTGTGACATAAATAACCTCAAATTTCAGATTTTTTGTTAACGTTTGTAATTTGTTTATTATGCTTCGATCGTCATTACGTCGAATGCACTCCAAGATAACCTCAAGCGCATTTCTGAAAAAGGACGTCGGTCTCGGTGACTATACAGACAAGGATGATCAAGACGACGAGATGGAAATTGTTGATATTGAGGAGGACGATGCGCTTCAATTCAAGGAGAGACTCACCATGAATGATATGGCCGACTTGTTTGAAGTTTGCAGAACCAAATGCGCGGTGAAATATCTCTCAGTTCTCGTTTACATGGCCCTGCGAAGTGTCGGTACAAGCTAGAAAGAGTGCGAGACGTTCTTGAAAAATCTAGGTCAGTTAGTGGAATAGGAGAATTGTTTTTAATACAGAAATTCTAACGTTTCAGGTTGTATTTCAGTTGTCACTGCCCACAAGTGGTCAGAGATCTTTCGCGCAGGAGAGATCGAGTCCTTCGAGGGAGACAAGCGCGATGAGAAGCATTCGGCCTCGTTCTACGGCTACTTCCCAGATATCGAGAAGGCTGCCTTGCAATACACTCATGAACGCTGCTCTCAAAAGGCGGCAGACTTCACATCAATGGACTTGGCAAACTTTATTGACAATCAATACTACAAAGTCACCAAGACCAAGAAAGGCATTTTGTCTTGGTCGATCCCAACATCTTTCTTTCGAAGTTGGGTGTAACTTTCCCCGCGAATCCCGAGATCCAAAACAAGGCGCTTCATCTGAAACTGTTTCGCCGTTTCTGGCGCTGTTTGAAGGCCTATCAAGACGGAAAGAGCTATCAAGAGGTGATGCAGATTTATTTTGGTTCCAAATGCACCGGTCTGAACGCCGGCCATACGCGTGTGTCGAACAACAAAGCCTAAGAACAGTCAGAATTTTTAACTCGTGTGTCTTCTGCTTGTCTGTTTTTCCTCGGCCGTGTGTAAAGCCATTTGTGATTTTGCCATGTGATAGGTCGTCAGATATTAAAAGACAACAGTAAAATCGTAACAAAGCATCCTTTAGACGTCAGCATCGTTTAACAAGAAAATCAAAATATTGTGATCATATTTCTTAAAAACCCTCTAGAAACCCTTTGAAGATCCACTGAAGACCCGCTATAGTTCTGGACAATAACATCATCGTCTTCCTCATCATTTTTTACCCTTAGACCGGCATTAGAACGTCAATCGGATAAAAACTCGAAAAGTCGGTGAAAAGGGTTCAGGCCGTTTGACTCCGACTTTAGTAAATGAGGTATAATTTTTGAAAGAAATTTTTTCTAAAAAAGCTGCTCGTATAACTTTGTACAGCTTTTCAAGGCGCGTTGAATGGTGTCAAGTTTTTTGCTTCTACGACCTTCCCACGGGGACTTGAAAAGTTTGGAAGAAAATTTTGGATCTCTGGAGTCTGGACTACGCCGAAAACCAGTCGAAGGTTTCGAACACTAAAAAGCACATATAAGCACACAGGCTAGGATGAGTTCTCAAGGCTGAATCCGAATATCGAAACCGCAGACTTGTACGACATCAGGGGGAAAAGTTGTTAAGCAGCTTTTCCGCAATCTCGATTTTTTTTCGAGGACTCGATCGAGATTTAGTTTTTGGCCTTTTTCGCCCAGAAGAAAAATTCCAAAAATTGTCGGGACCACATATTTGTGATCAGCGAAAGAAACTGCATCGAATGAGGTATAAAAAAGCGAAATCTAAAATCCACTAAAACCTTGCCTTAGCGGCACCTTGCGATTGTTTATAATTTAGAAACAATGAAAGCATGCAATTTGAAAGAAATTAAAAATACTGCAGAAAATATTCAATATTTTGCTTATGGCATTATTCAAGCCATTCATCTAATTTATTCAAAATATGGCTTACAAGCATTTGTAAGCAATGTAAGTACAGGGTGACAGTACTGAAGGGTGGTCGAAGATGGGTCCCAATAGCCATCATATTTTGTTTGATATGGCAAATGGTAATCAATATCGTGAACAATATTTATGTGGTTATATATGGGATAAAAGCAAAGGTGCAATCATCCAACACATGCTGTAATTTAAGAATATATTCAAGCGGATAAACGTTCAGGAAAACTTGATGCTGATTATATGGTATGTGGTTTTGTGTTAGATTACCAATTTTATCCAATACCGATTAATTTGTTGGGAACAGATAATGCACGGTATGCCGAGCTTTGGATTCCTGTACATCCTGAGGATATTGATGATTTAGTTCACTTGGTTATTGGCAAAATATATTTCACAGTCATGTGCGTATGATATCCATTCAATGTCCGTATTTTAACTATACAAATGGAATACGATGAACACCGACAATTCGTAGCGTATACGAAGATAAAAGCATTTTTTACAAAAATGCTCTTCTTGGGATGGAAAAATGGTTTTTTATGAGTGTACTGCTGTTACGCTTAACGTCGAAAAATGTTTTATCATCTTGATTTCGATCCTCCTTCTGATGCAAAGCGATTTTCTAGCTTAAGAAGCAGCTATTGACAGTCCCTCCCTTGTTCTGGTGAAGTTTCTTCGGAAAAGTAGATTTTAATATTTTCTTAGAAATCAAAGGTTTTCAGAAAATTTTCGACCTGATTAAACAATTAAATTATCATACCATAGTAGTCGTTACAATAGCTGTTATTATATATTGAAAAATGCAAATTTCTTTGCCCATTTATATTAAAAGTTGAATCAATCGGACTCGAAATACAAAAACTCAAGTTCGATACCGAGTCCACTGAAAAATCTTCCAGTCCACACTCAGACCTGGTCAGTCCTGGTGACAAGTATGATTAGTGACTAGTATTACATTCTTAAACCGTTTTACAAAACAAACATTTACAGAATTTTATGAAAATATACGCACGCTATTGTTTATTTACTTGGTTCTCGTTAATACATAGAATCTTACTCTACAAACGTTACTTCCTTTTACAAAACATCTTTGTTGTAATAGAG